CCCTTTCTGTTTCAGTAAATTCTATGCCAAGGAAATAGCTCAACTTGCCGAAGTCACTCATTTCAAACTCATTCAGCATGTGCATTTTGAATTCATGAATCAAAGCTTCACTACTTCATGTGACCAACAAGTTGTCTACATACAAACATACTATCAGTTTTTCAGTTCTTCCTTCTCGTTGACTGCACTGAACATATATACCATGTTCTGAAGCACATTTCTCAAAACCAATGCTACTCATGAATTGATCTATCCTCTGATTCTATGCTCTAGGGGCATGTTTCAACCCATAAAGGGCCTTTCGCAACCTGTATACCATGTTCTGCTGCACTGTGATTTCGAAACCTGGGGGCTACACCACATAAACTTCTTCTTCTAACCTTCCATTCAAGAAAGCTGACTTTACATCCAGATGATGTAAAGTCCAACCAAACTGACTTGCCAAAGCCACTACAAGTCTAACCGTTTCCATTATGGCCACAGGTGCATATACTTCTCCATAATCCACCCCAACTTTTTGTGGGAAGCCTTTGGCAACTAGCTTGGCCTTATACTTGACAATCTCACCTTGTGGATTTACTTTAGCTTTGTAAACCCATTTCACATCTATTGGCTTCTTGTTTGCGGGTAGGTTGGTTAACTCCCATGTTTGATTCTTCTCAATGGCTTCAATCTCCCCCTGCATTGCCCTTAACCACTTCTCATCTGCACTAGCTTGCTCAAATGTGACAGGCTCAACCTCGGCTATAAGTGTAAAATGCACAAAATTTCCCTATGAGGTGATTGCTGCTTCATAGAAAAATCATAGTCCCTCAGATGAGATGGTAATTGTGATTCTCTAGAAGACCTCCTCAGATTACCTCCTTGTCGTGTACCACCTGTAGAAGTTGCAGCAGACTCATCTCTGGAAGGCTCATCCTCTAGTTGAACTGTGGTATTCTACTGCTGCAGAGATTTCCAGCCCCAGATTCTACCTTCATCAACTACCACATTTCTACTTATAGTAGCTTGTCTTGTCTCTGGATCAAATAACTTGTATCCACCAGTTGTGTGATATCTAATCAATATCAATGGCACTCCTTTATCATCTAGCTTTCTCCTCATCTGATCGGGTACATGTTTATAGTATACTGAGCCAAATACTCTCAAATGATCAACTCTTGGCTTGATTTTGGTCCATGCTTCCTCTGGAATGATGTTCTTCAAACGTTTAGCAAGAGTTCTGTTCAAAATATAAGTGGCAGTTAACACAGTCTCTCCCCACAAGAACTTTGGCAGCTCTTTACTCTTCAACATGCACCTCACCATGTTTATTATGATTCGGTTTTTTCTCTCTGCAGTGCCATTGTGTAGAGAAGGGTTATCTCATGGAGTATCCCTTCATCAACACAAAACTGCTTAAACTTAGCAGATGTATACACTCCACCATCGTCTGTCCTCAACACTTTTAACTTCTTGTCACTCTGCCTCTCTGCCATTTGTTTAAATTTCTGAAATACTTCCAGCACCTCACTCTTTCTCTTGAGTAAGTATGACCATGCTTTCCTGGACCAATCATCTATGAATAGCATAAAATATCTACTACCCCCTGGAGTTTCAGTTTGTATGGGCTCTCATACATCTGAATATACAACCTCCAGTTTCTCCTATGTTTTCTAAGGTACAAAGCTTTTGAAACTTCCTCTGGCTTGCTTGCATTGGACACACTCCTGACACACTACTTCAGGGATATTAACCAGTGGTAAACCATGGACCATTGTGTGTTAGCTTAATTGAAATAAGTGCATTGGACACACTCTGAAGTTTAGGTGTCCAAAGCGTAAATGCCACAACTACTCCACTTCCTTTTCTGCTACTGTCGAAAAACACTGATGTTTTACTGCTTTTATGATAACACGAAAAGTTCTATTTTGGGACAATTTTGCACTTATGACCAGCTTTCTATTTTGGTTAAAAATACTGAGGCTATTATCCTCCATCTTCATTACAAAACCCTTCTGTAGGAGTTAGCCCAGGCTCAACAAATTTGTTCTTAATCCAGGCACGTACAGAACTTCCTCAATCACAACCTCTTTGCCATCTATGTCTCGAAGAACAACTCTTCCAGATCCCTCTACCATCAAACTTCTGTCATCAACAAACTTGATCTTCCCATTTAGCACTTCCCTCATCTTTACGAACCACTCTTTCTTCCCAGTCATATGGGTCGAACATCCAGAGTCAAGATACCATGATGCATCCTTTGACTCCTTCATTCGTTCTTGCCATCAACATCACAACTTCTGAGTCAGATGTATTTTCTTGTGCCAAGTGAGCTTGGTTCTTGGGTTTATTTTTCTCACCATCACCCTTCCAACACTCTTTGGCAAAATGCCTAAACTTCTGACAATTGTAACATCTGACTTTTGATTTATCAAACTTCCATTCTTTTTCATCATCAGAATTTTCCACATCCTTTCGGCATTTTCTAGACTCAGTCGCTCCCTTACTCTTCTGTTCTTGGGAATCTTTATGCTGGAATTTTCCTTTTCCTGTTTTCTTGAACGATTTCCCCTTTCTTTTGTGAGAGGAACGGACCTACAAGACTTGTTCTTGACAAAGTCTTCGCTCATTCATCCTATATTCATGCGACTCCAATGAATGTTGTAGATCCTCAATCTCCATAGCTTCCAGGTCTCGTGTCTCCTCAATGGCCACAACCACGTGATCAAACCTAGGTGGGAGGGTTCTCAAGATCTTGTCTACAACACTCTGATCTGAGATGTTACCTCTGCAAGCCCTCATTGCATTGACGAGTTCTTGAACCTTGTCAAAGTAATCTGCCACGGTCTCACTCTCATCCATGGTCAGAAACTCAAACTGCTGGCGCAGGGTTTGCAACCTCACCTTTTTGTTCTTATCACCTTCACTGCATGTCTTGACCAATATCTCCCAAGCTTCTTTGGCTGATCTGCCTTTGAAATTTTGTTGAAGATCTTTGGTCTTACACATTGATAGATAGGGTACCTGGCCTTACTATCCATCTTCAGTTGTGCCTTATGATTTCTCTTCTCCTCTTCGGTGGATTTCGAGGTTACCTCCATCACACCTTCACTCACTATCTCTGCAACATCTTGGAAACCAAAAATGACTTGCATCTTAATGCGCCAATCACCAAATGCCTTGCCATCAAAGATCGGTAATGATCCTTGCATCATCCTCCTAACCCAACCATACTTCTATTCTTTTTTTCATTTCTTGAACTCATGTCGTCACCCAAAGAAATCCAACGTCCCTTCATTAACTCACGTATTTCACAACCTATGCTCCTGATATTATAAAGGGTTTTGAGAGAGATATACTAAAAAAGTGAAAATAGCATATGATATATTGTTGTGTGGTGAACGAACACTCGTATTTATGGTTAATTCCTAATTTTAGCTTAATTACAAAAAATACCAACAATATCACGTATCCATATACATCTATGTTCTAGAACCTTCTTAAGAAAATCTATCATCTCGTACTAGTCTGCGCACATATACCGTACTAGCCCTCTAAGCTAGTATGGTAGGATACCAGTAAAAAAAAGTGAATTTTTCTTTGTTTTTTATACTTAGTCATCTCACACATTCTTGAGCTTAACAACTAGTATATGGGTAGAATGTCAAGAGCTTAAAAAAAAAAAAAAAAAAAAAGTGAAATTCTTTATCACTTCACACCTCCTCGAGTTTAGAACTTATTGACCTTGAAAAGTGATTTTTTTTTTTCCCTTTCAAGAAGATCTTCGTTGCTTCACGCCTGCTCAAGTTTGGGGTCGTGTACTATAGGGATGTCTAAGACCTCTGGACATACCATTATGAACATGTTTAAGGTAAATTATGAAATTAATTATGTTGACATGAATAATCATACATCTTCATGGATAAATACTCAACACCCATAAGATATAAATCGATTAAAATACTATAAATAGACTATCAACTCATCATATGGTTTCTTCATTATGAATAAACAAGCATCTCTTAAGACCTTAATTGTAGAGTACTAATATGAAATTAATCAAAATATTTTAATAACTTTTGTGTAGCTATATTAATTTTTTTTTACCTTAGCATTTGGCAAACGTTTATTTTTGTTGTAAACACCAAGGACAATTAAGAAAATTTAGGTTTGGACCAGAGAGTATCCACTTACGTGACAGGTGATATTGGTTTCTTCCAAGCCTGTTTCACAGATTAAAATGAGGCAAAAAAATCAGCTCAATTCTCATAGTTGTTCCCATTTTCTTGAATAAATAAGAATTGATGTTCTGGTATATCTCTTCAACAAATTAGAAATTCTAACCAGGAAAGATATTCATACCTTTGCATGATTAAAGAATCTGCGATACGGGTGAATCCTTTCAACCAAACATCCCTAGACACAACAACAAAACATATATTCACCGATATTATCAAAATTATTAAATGAACATATATTTTTAACCACGTACTCTATTCAATCCGTAATCTGATAAAAATTTAATAGTGATAAATCTCAAATATAGGAGCAACGCCACAAAATCCAAAATATTCCTCCAAAGCTTACAGCACATATCCCTGCTATTAACAATAAATTTAATATATAAAATTACAAGCTGATATTAATGAAAACTACTTCTATGGGAGAGGATATATATTCTCAGAACAGAAGATAAATAGCAATTCACAATAAATCATGATTGGAAAAACGCATAAAAATAATGATAAAAGGTATCTGTACAGATCTTGTTATCTGCAAAATTTAAAGTCAGGGATGGAGATGGTTTATGGTAGATCTCTTAGATTGTCTGGTTTTCTCATGTAATATAGTATCAAACAGGACTTCAATCAAGGAGATAAGAAACCATTTTGAGACAAATAAATTGAATATAAATGCAGTTGAAGTGCATACAAAAGACAGTTATATATATTCCAATTAAGGTTTGAATTTATCATAGCATATTATCATGTTGGTCATTTATAGAACAACGAGACAAGTTAGTCTACCTCCCATGACTGCACCAAGTCTTTAATATCCATTAGAACTGGTTGGCGAGGAAAACTCTTAGTCTGATTATATCGAGTCATCATTGGCACAGGGGAAGCACAAGTGTTTGCTCCCATTGTAGAAGGTGCAGCTAGTGGATTGGTCCTACTCATTTCGAATCGATGGTCCCTTGTAAATTGTTCATTACTACCATAAGGACTAGCATTAGCGTCGGCAGCACCAGAAAAAACTCTAGCGTCACTTGCACTACCACTAGCAGAAGCAATACCACCGGCATCAGCACTGTCACTACCATAAGTATGCACTGGGAAGCCTGATGATTGATGTCGAATGAGTGAGTTTCCATCAAGATTTTTGGCACCAGCACCAGTGCCAACAAAAGTAGTCGTACTAGGACCAGCTATAGGACCAACACTAGTACTCGCACTGGCACCAACATAAGGATGCACTGGGAAGTTTCCATCAAGATTATTGGCAGCAGCACCACTACCAACAACAGGACCAGCATAAGGAAAAACGGGGAATTGAGTTACAGAGTCTCCGACAAGATCACTTGCACTTGCACTAGTGCCAAAACTAGCGCTAGCACAACCATAAGGATGCACTGAAAAGCTTGGTGATTCAAATTGAGTGAATGAGTTCCCTGTTGTGTTAGGGAAGGTGGAATCACCAAATGAAGCACCAGCTCGTGGAGGATAAAATGCATCGGATCCCGAAGGCCAAACATTTGGATTGTTTTCAGGCATTGACAAACTAGAAGTTGAAAAGTTCTCTGAGCTGAAAATGGGGTTGAACACACCCATGTTGTCGCCTAGTTGCTGAGCTGGTTCATTCGAAGACCTTTCTCCGAATGTGGTAGTGGATACATTAGATACTACTACCCCAGGTGAGATTGAAATGTTCATCCTATCAGATGAATTTGAGTCCAGTGGAATAGTTGAAGTTGTGTCTGTTGTTACACTTTGTTCAACAAAATCCCTCAGCTCATGTGATGATGATCCTCCCACCTGTGTCTGAGAAGACAGTGTTTGGTCTTCTCCAAGAATCTCTTCTATAGAAAACGAGTGATCTAGTTGAAAAAGGAGTTCCACAGAGTCCTCCTCTTCTGATGTTAGAAAAGTCTTGGGTTGTATCCATGTGTGATCTTGTTGAGAAATATCATTGTCATCAGTTAGCAGTGCCATAATTTCTTCATACTCATTCATAGGCAGGAAGCTGAGTGGAGAAAGACCATTCATTTCATTTGTTGTTGCCTGTGGAATGGTCTGGGGAACTGTATTTGAAGACTCCTGAAAAAGAAAATGTTTCATGATCACACAAAGTATATGAAGCACAAATAATACCGCAAAATTGATGGAAAACCAATGACATTTTACAACACGGTTTCCACGTAGAAACCTATTCAGAATCTATCTATTTAATCATTTTTCTAATTTTAAATACTTTTTTATTTCTTCAATTTATCACAATTTGGTAGCAGTAAAAGTCCAGTGGATACAAATGGACTTAACACAATTTTTTGACCATTATCTCTAACACATTAAAAAAATAATTATGATTTTTAGAGAATTAATTTATATTTAAAAAAACTAAAAGAAATTACATTAAATTAATAATACGATTATATACAAGTTGGAATAGGTTGAATTTCACTAAACTGATCACTCAATTCAATAAAAAAATTTTAAATTAAATTAAGCTGAATCAAATTTTTATATTTATTTAACTTAATTCTACCTAAAAATTTCACTTAATTCTACCTAAGTTATTATTCATTCGGTTGGATTGAATTAAATTAATTTAATAAAACATTTAAAAAATAATTTTTATTGATTTTTTTAAATATTTTAAAAAAGGAATAATTTTAAAAAATAGACTATATTATTTATTATTTAAAAAATTTATTTATCTAATATTTAAAAATATATTTAATTAATATAATAATTAAATAATTTGAATAATAATTATATTATTTTATAATTTTGATCGGTGGGTTAAATTAAAATTTATGTTAAATATACAAAATTGGTCAATTAATCCATAGATTAATTTAGATTAAGTTAAATTTGACCCAATAAAAAAAAACAAATTCAATATACTAATGATAAACCGTAATTAAGACACTAAAAATATATCGGTTTTATTTAAGTCATTAGAAAAAAAATATCGTTTATTCTACAAATAAATTTTAGAAAAAAAAAAAAAAAAAACGAGAAAGGGTATATGTACGGACTAACATTTTGGAAACCCTCAGTGCCTTGCTGTCTGATGTCCATGCTTCTACCAGAGAATAGGTCTCCTGAAATATTAACCAAATAGAAAAGATGAACAGTAGATGGAATCTTTTAAACAATTGGAGTAAATTAAATAAAATATTTTTCAGGCTTGTTCGGCAACAAGAGCTGAAATTTACCTGGTACTCACTGTTGTTAATATGATGGAAACAGAAATAGAAAAATAATGAAATGCTTCGTTTGATGGGTTTGTGAGAAGAATGTTGTGAATGCAATAGTTAATTTATGCTACATTCATTATATATTAGGGGCAAGGTTTTATAAGGCTAAAGGAGAATGAGAGGGTATATTAGGCAAGAGAGAGAAGAGAAAACAGGAGAAAGAGAGAAGATATCTGTGGGTGCAGATAATCAGGATCGTAAATGTTGTTAATTATTATTATTATTATTATTATTATTATTATTATTTTATAGCGAACAATAAATACGTTGACTTTAACAAGACAAAGATAGCCCGGAGGAGAATATGGAAAAAGTTAAGCCAGCTTAATGTTTTAACTGACATGAATTAAATTGCATGTATCACTTTCTTTTACTAACATTTAAGGATCCTTTATTACCAGAAAACGTGCTTTTATTTTCGTGTTTTAAAAAAATTATACTCCTTTATACCTATAAATAACAAGACAAGTGGAAAGTTTACTCGAAGGTGACATGTTTGAATTATTATCTCAATTATTTTTATTTATATAAATATTTATAATTTTAATTTCAAAATTTAATAATTATTAAATATATCTTATTATATATTTATAATTTTTATTTATCATATTTCTATATTCATTTATTATTTATTAATAATGTATTAATTTATCTTCTAAACTTATCCATCAAAATTAATCATTAAACAAGATCAAATCATAATTATTCAATGCTCAAAAAATTTGCAAAGTATGTTTTTAAGATGTATAAAAAATATTATTAATAAATAAATTTAAATAATATTTATATAATTAAGATTTTTTTAAATATATAAAAAAAATTGACATCATTCTATCTTATGATTGGTGTATCTCACTCCGCATATCATCCCTAAAAGAAAATTCAACTTTAAAAAATAATAAATACATTCATTTTTTTAAAATATTATCCTCACTTACCAACAATGAAATACATTCAAATACGATAATTTGATCGTATAATCAATTATGTCTTAAATTTTAAAAAATTATAAAAAATATAATAATAATAATAATATTAAAATAATAAATAATTTTTTTCAAAATTATTTTATTTACATTCATTATTTTTTCACATAATTATTGAACAAGACCCAATCATAATTATTCAATATTCAGTAGTAAATCACTAAAAAGTTTTATAAATATCATGTGTGCTTTTAAAAAGTATATAAAAATATTGATTAATAAATAAAAATTAAAAAATATTTATATAATTAAAACTATATTTTTTTAAAAATATTAAAAAAAAATTGGTGCCAACCCAACTTTAATAGGATAAATCAGAGTAGTTCGTCCAGTTCTATTTTGTCATTCTAAAAAGAAAAATCTGACTTTTGAGAAATGATAAATTTGATTTTTGTTTTTCAATGTTATCCTCAGACAGAATGAAATGTGTGCAAATAAAATAATTGAATAATATAATTAATTATGTTTAAAAAAATTTCTTGTATGAGAAAGAAATATTATGATAATAAATAATTAAAATTATTATTAAAATAATAAAAAAAAACTTAAAAATAAATAAATATATTTTATTTACATGTATTCATTTTTTACTTAATTTATAATATAACTAAGAATAATTAATTATACCTATATTATATATATATATATATATATATATATATATATATATATATATCCGAAAATGATCTAAAACTAGGAAAAATTATATCTTCTATTGTAATTTTGGATCTAACTCTAGAAATGTTTGTTTTCGTATAAAAATATAATTATCAGATTAACAATCGAACAACACAATATATAGATAAGTTAGTGGTTGAATTCAATCAATTTAATTTCTGGCATAAAATCATTACATAACTCATCATCTATTACTAATTCACAATATACATTAAGTCTCTCTATCTCTATAACTTGTTGGGCTATAATTTCAAATAGTCAACACAATAATACTTAAGATATTTCACTTATGTAATATAAAAAATTTCAATACTTATTTGTTTTCGGCAAATATATGCCTTAGAGTAAGTAAAGGAAACCTTGTTAAACTCGCATCACTAAATTCATTCATTTATATGATATAAGTGATGTATAAAGTCAATGGTGAATTTCTAATTTAATGTCTTACATAAAATCATACATGTCACAATCATTCATTTTGTTTTCAATATATCATTCAAATCATTAAAATTTTATTTCCATCTTTAAGATTATCATTTAATTAAAGAGTTTTCTCTTAAACTAAAGATCTTTTCTACCTTTCTCATTTCTCTTTGAGATTATCGTGATCAAGTCCACTTATCTGAGTTGATCAAGTTATTTATTTTCTTTTTCTTGGATATTCCTCTTTTTGGCAAAAATATTTTTAAATATTTTTTATGTTTAAATTTTTATTTTAAACAAAAAGATAAACATATATTAAGAAAAGTAGAGAAAAAATAATTTAATATTAAATTTTTATTAAACAGAATAAAAATAAAACACAAATGTGGGAAGTAGTTTTCAGTAAATTAAAATATGAAATTATTTTAAAGTAAATATTACATATTTACTGTTTTATATGAATAGTTTTTATGATTATAACCTTCTTCTTTTTTAAGTAAGGAACATTTTTCAATTTTTTTGCGATTGGTTGATCCATTTCATTCCAAATGTAAGTAATTGTAAGTCATTCTGATTTTTATAGTCGCATGTTAAAATTATGAACGAAATTTAAATTCGTATAGACATACTAATAATTTTCATTTTAAATCAGATGAAATTGAAATTCATACGTTATGTATAAATATTTTAACTTGTAGATCATGTTGATAAATGTGCTAAAATGGTAAAATGAACATACAATAATAAAATGATAATAAGAAAGTCGAAGATTTTAGAGTTTTCCACAATTATACTATTATTGATTTAGTCTAATTGTGTATCCGATTAATCTTTGATGATGTTGGGAATTTAATTGATCTTGTACTTCAAACTCAAAATATTATTGATTGTACCTTTCAACATGATTCATTTGAATATGTTATTCATTATCTCTAAACAATATAATAATATCTTTTAGATACTTATTTTTTACTTATAACATATATACTCTATTTTCATGTCTCACTTTAAAATTAAATAAGACTTATTTCTACGAGAATAAAATTTATTATCTCAATAAGATTTATCACTACAAAAAATCTTAAATTACCAACAAAAATTTATTGATGGATATAAATTAGTCGATAAATTTAAATTATCAACAAATATAAGCAAGGAATAATATAAATAACCAACAAAAATTTATCAACCAATATATATTTATATCTGTCGATAAATATAAATTACCAATAAAAATTTCTTGACAAATATTATTTTATTGTAAATTTAAATTACCCACAAAAATTTCTGCTAATGATCCTCGTTTCCACGTTCATTATCCACTAATATATTGTTCGATAATATATTAATATTTTAAATGATTAATGTATTAAGTATTTCATTAATAAAAACTAATCTATTATATATTTAAATTAATAAAAATTAATACATTAACTATTTAATCAATAAAAATTAATATATTAACAGTTTATTTGATAAATATTCATCTAATAAGTATTAATTTAGTAATTATTTATGTCAAATATTAATATATTGATTATTGAATTAAAAATATTAATATATTGATTATTGAATTAAAAGTATTAATTTATTAATTATTTAATGAAAAATTAATCTATTAATTATTTATTTCAATAAATATTAAATTATTGGTACTTTAATTAACCAGTATTATTTTTTCAAAATTTTAATTAATTATTTATTAAAAAAAATATTAATTTATCAATTATTTATCTTATATTAATTAATATTTTAATAAATAAATAATAATTGATTAGAAGTGTAATTAATATATATTAATTTTTTTTAAATTATTATTATTATCATTAATACTTAAATTTAATTCAATTTAAATATCAAAATAAAAAAATTAATATAAGTGTATATTGATATTGTTTAGTTTTTTAAATTTTACATTTTTTAAGTTATTGTTAATAATTTTTTAAATAAATTTATATTATACTAAATATTATTTATTATATTCAAATGTTTAAAAATTCTATACTAATTTTAAAAAATAATTTTTTACAATAAAAATATTAGAATTTAGAATTTAAATTCATATATATATATATATATATATATATATGTTGAAATATTAAAAAAAATATATTAATCAAATAAGAAGGATAAGACAATAATTATCAACTTATTTTCTTATTTTTATTTTATTTTTTAATAAATTATTTGTATAGATTAATTTATTTAATTTTTGAGTGAGTACAAAATGTATTTAATTTTTTTATTAAAGTTTATATTAGATTACTTATTCTAATTTGCATTGTTTCTTTTTGAAGGAAAAGAAAAAGTATTTAACCATCTTTTAACTTAGTAATTTGTCTTTATGTGACCATTAATTTCTAACAAAATATTTAAGTATAATATTATTGAAATAATGGTGAAGCGAAGAATATTATCAAATACCTTAAAAATATGGAAAAAATAAATAGTAAAAATAACTTTTAAATTTTAGAAGAAGAAAACATAAATAATATTTAAGAGAAAAATAAAAATGACTTTTTTTAAAAAAAACTATTAAATAAAGAAGATTTTTATATATTCCTTTATAATTTGAAATAAAGAAAAGATTAAAAGTTTGATTCACTCTTTATTTTTATTTTTTATTTCATTTTTTAGGACGCCTCCCTAATCTCATGTTCACTCACACTCTTCTCACTTCGCCACTCACACATGACCACTAAGCTCCACCCTTCACCCTTCTCCAAAACCATACACCACGCCCTCTTCCCTTCATTTCCTCTTTTCATCTTCCTCATGCATCTCTTCCATCGGTGTCAGTGTTCCCAAGCCCACTCTCCCTTTCACACCTTACCTCAACCTTCACCTTTTTCCCTCATCTTTGCCCTTCACTCACACCTCTGTCTTCTCCTCACTGAGCCACTCACTTCTCGCAACCACCCTTGCTTGCCACCGGCAAGACCCACGCTTACCACGCCCACATCACAATCAAGCCCCACCGCAACCTAACTTCGCGCCCAAACCACCACAAACCCCAAACCACCGCAACCACCACCCATTTCCTCCCTCACTCATCGCACCTCTCTGAGCCCCAAACTTATCTCCTCTCCACCCGCGCTGCCCGAACTCCTCATCACTCATCCCCATTCTCAGTATCACCCCTAGCCACTACAAGCCCTAGTCCACCGCGAACTTAACCCCTCCTCCACTGAACCTCGCCTCACCGTTAATAACCTTGAATCCCCTGTGAGCCATCGCCAACTTTAGTTCATTCTCGGCTATTTGAATCTTGACCGAGAGTTTATTTTTTTGACCGTGGTTATCTGATCGTGGTCAATGTTCATTCTCGGCTAGATTTATGAATGCTATTTAACTTCATTCATTTGCATTATTTTTCATTTCTGTTAGCATTCTTTTCGGTCAATCATATATTTAGTTCACTAATTTCAAATTTTGACCGAGAAGATTTAATAGTATTGGCATGTTGACTGAGAGCACAAATTTCTGACCGTGATTCCTGACTGTGATTACCGTTCATGTTGGTAAGATTTGTGATATTGATCGTGGTTATTGTTCATCACGGTCAGATTTGAGATTTTACATCATTTTTGTGATTCTGCATTGTTGAACATACAAGAATATGAAGCCTGAAGATTTTGATGATGATTCAAGAACATAAGACATAAAGACTTGAAGACTTATAATCATTTATATTTACTTGTAATAACTCTGTTTTATACTTTTGAGTCTATAAAATTAGAGTCCAAGATAGTCAGCACATAGTTCATCCTCTGAAAGTTCATTTTTATCAAATTCTCTCTGTAATAATCGATTATCACTCAGGATAATCGATTATCATGCTTTGAAACCTATTTTCTGAAAACCTTGCTGGAATAATCGATTATCTGGGTTGATAATCGATTATCCCAGTTTGAAAGTTCTGGAATAATCCATTATCCTGGTCCTGTTTTACTCCTCTACGAAAATGGTTTTGTAATAATAAATTATCACTTAAGATAATCAATTATCTACGTCTGTTACGAGTTTTGAATTTCAAATTTGGATCAATTTTTGAGAAATCTTTTTCTAATGCTTCAAGTTTCGAAAACCTTTATTTCCTAGACCCTATTCTCTCTACTTAAGGTTCTCCAAGGCTCTCTGCACAAAAACAAACATTTTTCATACAAAAGTTAAAAGCTGTGATTGCTAGAGAACTTTGTGTAGGGAAGAAAAAGGGACTTTTGAAACCTAGTATGAGCTAGAAGCGATAAGAATCACTAAGTGGGACTCTTGGTGGATTGTGTGTTATACCATCTCCTGAAAAAGTTGTTGTTCATCCTTTGTGGATTCAAAGGAGGTGCTCATCTCTTGTGTGACTCAAGAGAGGTGTTTTCTAATCTTTATCTTTGTATTTGTAATCTGTTTGAACTGTGATTATAGTGACAACGTTAATCCTCTTTTAGAGTGATTAGCAACTGGACGTAGGGTCTTTTGATCCGAACCAGTATAAAACACTTGTGTAATCTTCTCATCCTTTCTCTATTTACATTACAAGTATTTTAATCGGTGAAATTTGGGAAAAATTTTAAAAACCATAATTTTTATAACTAAACCAATTCACCCCCCCCCCCTCTTGGTTTTTGGTCTTGTCCGAAACCGCAAACATTTTGTTGCGCGCAAGGTCTAACAAGTGGTATCAGAGCTTGCTTTGATAGTCATTCAAATTTCGAAAATGGCCGGACAAAACCAAACCTTTGCCGATGGTACTTCTATCAACAGACCCACACTTTTTGCGGAGAAAAATTATCCTTTTTGGAAAGTTAGAATGCAAATATATTTGGAGTCTGTTGATAGGGGTGTATGGGATGCCATTGTAAATGGTCATTTTATTCCCAAAGTTACTGTAAACGATGTAGAAGAACCTAAACCATTTTCTAGATGGACTGCAGAAGAAAATAGAAAAACTCAATATGATGTTAGGGCAAGAAATAAAATTCCATCTGCTTTAACTCTTGATGAATTTTATAGAATTTCAGTCTACAAGAGTGCTCAAGAAATGTGGGAAATGTTAAGAGTAACCGATGAAGGTACTGATGATGTTAAAAGAGCAAGAAAAAATTCCTTGATTCAAGAATATGAGATGTTCCGAATGCAACAAGAAGAAACGATCTTTGACGTTCAAAAGCGTTTTACTCATATTGTCAATCATCCCACTGGGCTAGGTAAGATTTTTGATATTGACGAATTAAATGTGAAATTTCTTAAATCTTTGGACAGGAAATGGCAACCAAAGGTGACTGCCATCACGGAGTCACAAAATCTTGCTACTATGACTATGGCGGCTCTCTTTGGAAAGTTGAGAGAGCATGAACTTGAACTTGGAAGGTTAAACGATGAAGAAGGCCAACATCAAAAGAGAAACCTAGCTTTCAAAACTGAAGTTTTCAAAATCAAGAAAAAGAAGGAAGAAGAAAGTTCCAATAGTGAAGAGAATGAAAACTTGAGCCTCATGATAAAAAAATTTACAAAGTTCATGAAAGTTAAAGGAAAGCAACCTTTCAAAGGTAAGGGAAAGGTAAAAGAAAATTCTTCTTTAAGTTTTAAATGTTATGGTTGTGGTGAAATAGGACATGTGAAATCCGATTGTCCCAAAAAGAAAAGTGATGATCATAAAGGAAAGAAATTCTTTAAAAAGAAAGCTTATATAGCTTGGGATGATAGTGACTCAAGTTCGGAGTCAAGCGATTCAGAGGTTGAAGCAAATATTTGCTTGATGACAAATGATAGTATTTCTTCCGATTGTGAGGTAAGTGATTCTGATTGTTCTTCAAATGATGATGAGAATGACTATGATGCTTTGCATAATGCATATCAAGAACTATTTACTGCTTTTAAAGATTTGAAAACTGAATATAAATCTTTGAAAAAGAATTTGAATAAATCGGAAAAAGAAGTAGGATCTTTAAAATAAAAAATAGTGACTTTAGAAGAAAAATGAAATAAACAAATAGAATGTGCATCATGTAAAGAATATGAATATAAACTGGACATACTTAGATACTTACTTGAAAAAGCAAAGAAAGAATTAAGTGATTCTTACAAGGATGGAGTTAATGTACAAACTCAAGTAAAATGTCATGTTCCATTAAAAGAGCCTAAAAATAGAACCCGAAGGGTATGACTTGAAAAAAGTATCTAAATCTTCTCAAAATATAAAGTTATATCTTTTTCAAGAATTAAATCTAATGCATGCTTCTATTGTATGAAACATGGACATACATCTAATAGGTGTAAAATTAAGAATTTTTGCGTTCCAATGGGAAAAATGTTTGGGTTCCCATAGATAAATGATTTGCTTGTCTCTAACCCCAAAGACCCAAAAGTTATGGGACCTAAGATTATTATATTCTTGTTTTGTAGGAAACTTCCAAATCCAAGAAGTCTATGTGGTATCTTGACAGTGGGTGTTCAAGACATATGACTGGAGATAAAAATAAATTTATGAGTTTCAAAGCAAAGGAACAAAGATATGTAACCTATGGGGACAACAATAAAGGAAGAATCCTTTGAACCGGAAATATTGGTGGTGCAAATACCTTGGACATAAAGGATGAGCTTCTCGTTGATGGGCTAAAGGACAATCTCCTAAGTATAAGTCAACTTTGTGATAAAGGATTTAAGGTAATTTTTGAAAGCAAGTTTTGCACCATTCATTTAAAGGATTATGAAAATATAACATTAAAAGGTATTAGGCATAACAATATTTATTTGATTGAATTGGATTGTGTATCTAATGCTAATATAACATGCTTAGTTGCTAAAGAAGAAAATTCATGGTTATGGCATAAGAGAGCGGCTCATATAAATATGCATCAATTAAACAAATTAATATCTAATGACTTAGTTATTGGTTTGCCTAAGCTAAAATTTGAAAAAGATAGATTATGTGATGCATGTTAAAAAGTTAAACAAGTAAAATCATCTTTTAAATCTAATAATGTTATTTCCACATCAAAACCTTTAGAACTTTTATACTTAGATTTATTTGGTCCATCTAGGATAAAAAGTTTTGGTGGAAATTACTATGCTCTTGTAATTGTTGATGATTTTTCTAGATTTACTTGGACATTTTTCCTAAGATTGAAAAGTGAGGCTTTTAAAGTCTTTAGGAAGTTTGCTAAACAAATTCAAAATGAGAAAGACTTGAGAATTAAAGTGTTATGGAGTAACCATGGTGGGGAATTCCAAAATGAATCTTTTAAAAATTATTGTGAAGAAAATGAAATTTTGCATAATTTTTTTGCACTTAGAATTCCCCAACAAAATGGTGTAGTAGAAAGGAAAAATAGGTCACCAGAGGAACTTGCTAGAACCATGTTAAATGAATCAAATGTTCCTAAATACTTTTGCGCTGATGCTGTAAGTACTGCATGTTATGTATTGAATAGAATGCTTATTAGGTCCATCATAAATTAACTCCTTATGAATTATTAAATGGAAGGAAGCCTAATGTTTCACATTTAAAAATTTTTGGTTGTAAATGCTTTGTCTTAAATAATGGAAAAGATAACTTAAGAAAATTTGACTCAAAAGCCGATGAGGCTATCTTCTTAGGATATTCACTATCTAGCAAAGCATATAGAGTATTCAATAGAAGATCCTTGAATATTGAAGAATCTATACATATTACTTTTGATAAAATTGTAGACCTTGAGGAAAATCCTCTTGAGTCAAATAAAGAATATGTAGGCGATGATGAATACATAAGAGAAGCTCTAGAAGAAATGTACTTGAATGAGAATGAGCCATCTCAACCAAAATTTCTTAATTATTGACAAGCGTACCAAAATTATCAATCGTAGTATAGTATTTTGATTAAATAAAAGTCGATCCCACGAGGAACGATTTCAATGGAAATTCCCAATCATATGCTTACTAAGTGGGTTAAAACAAATTGGGTTTTGCATAAAGAGTTAAATTGAAATTAAATGACAAAAAACTTTAAATTGTTGAGAAAAGATCAATTAAAGACACTTAGGATTGACTTCCTTCCTTATTCATCTTTTGTAATGGCTATGTCAATTAATGACATCAATTCATAAGAAAACCTAATAAATATTGATTCCTCACACAATTAAGAGATTTTC